GATTGCTTACTTCGTTGAGTTTCTAATTTAGAGAGAAAATAGATCCGTTTGCCTGTACATGTATGGTGGTTTATATTTCAATGACGAAAAAGCCGGCACTGCCGCGTTTATGGTTTAGCTTCTTGTTATGCACCTTATTCCAAAATGGCAGCCAGTTTATTATTCTTTTGTTTACATGATAATTAGCCCTCTTTGCCTCATCAACATGTACAAAATACAAAAGAATTTTGAAGTGAAAATGAGGCAAAGAGGGCTAATTAACATGCAAACAAAAGAATAATAAATTGCCCGCCATTTTGCAATAAGGTGTATGGCGATTTATATGAAATATACCAGTTTTTTTAAAAATATATATATTTTCCTTATCTATTGATTTCAGTCTTTTTCTCTGTTCTGTTTGTGCGCGTGAACTGAATTTGCCATAAGGATCAAAGATTATATTCAAGTCTTCTGGGGCCGGATGCGCAAACTTCCTTTCGCGCGCGCGCGTGTCGCTAACGGGCGTAGATGAAAAAGCATATCTTCACTCTGGGGTCAAGGGGACAGAAGTGTAACGACAGGACGACAGTGGCTTATTCACAACTTTACATTAACTTTAGCACATTGGTTTTAACGGTATGTCACCACGTTCTCTGCGTTCATCAGATAAGTTGCTTTGATCGTAACATTTTTCTGTTTCATCCAGTTCAACAACATTCTGACGTTTCAATCAAAAGAAAATATATGCTAGCTGACCCCTAACCCTACTTTAGCAAAAGCCCCTTGATGGCAAAAATTAGTTCAAGGGGGAAAATAAACTGAGATCGAAACAAGCGAAGGACTATTTACGCTAGAACGGCCATTGACATTCAAAGGGCTCACTTAAAAAATGGAAGTTATTAATTTCCGTCAGGGTAAATCAGCTAAACTCGAGCAACAAATTCCGCAGACTTACCACCGTTCTTGACCACGTCCTTTCCAAACAATGAGCAAGTTTAATCCAGGCCGTTCAAGAAATTCTTCAGGCGACCAAGTTCTCCATCCTTGAAGTGCGCTCTT